TTCAGATCTTTGAACTATCTTTCTGGCCCCACTAAAGCCATATATATTGTTTATTCTGGCCCCCTACAATCATGATTATTATTTGTTCATTTGATTTGTTTTGGAGCTACATCCAGTGGTATTCAGGGGCAGTATAATCTGAATTTGTTAGATGATACTGAACTCCTGAAGGTGTTTGGGGGATCAGATGCAGGGGTCATATTGTGGTCAGCTGCATGCAAAGTAAGCATCTTAATCCCTGTACTATCTCTACAGCTCCGACAATCACATTTTATTGATTCTAACAAGTCTCTGCCCTTGGAGCTGACAGTTCAGTGGCAAGGAAATAACCAAGCAGCATAAATAGGTGACCTCTTTAATGTGTTAGTAGATGATAAATGTTTAGAAAAAAATTAGCAGTGGACCAAAGTAAGGCTTTGCGGGATGGATCAGGACTGGTTTCTGGATGTATTAATTCTTTACTGCTACATAGTAAATTAATCCAAAACTTAGCCACTTAAAACACAAAGGAACTGAAGAGATAGTACATGCATTAAGGCACTTGCTTGCATAAGAACAACCCACACATGGTCCCTTGAGCACTGTCGGAAATGACTCCCAAGCACAGAGTAGTTCCTAAACCCCCCAGGTGTGATCCCAACCCTCCTTTGTCCCTGCCCCACCCCCAGTGTAAAAACATGAGGGAACTGGAGCAACAGTACAGCAGATACCTTGCACGCAGCCGACCCAGATTCAATCCCCGGCACCTTTATGGTCTCTAAGCACCACCAGGAGTAATTCCTGAATGCAGACCCGGGAGTAACCCCTGAGCATCACTGGGTGTGACCCCAAAAGCAAAAAAGTTAAAAAATGAAAACATGCATTGTGTTTATCCCTATGGGTCAGGAATCCAAGAATGGATTGGCTAGCTTATTCAGGTTCAAGTTTTCTGACAAAGTTGTAAGGAAGATGCCAGCTGGGACTATGTTCCTCCAGAGGCTGAGGGCTTGCCTCTGAGGAAACTCACACACTTGGTAGCTGGCAAAAGACCCGAGCTCCTGACTGTTGGCAGGGAGCCTGGCTTCCTTGCCCCATGGACTCCCCAGACAAGCTGGCTGATCACCCCAGAACCAATCAATCAAGAACAAAAACAAAGAGGAACCCACCATCACTTTTGTGACTCTCACTTTTTTTCAATTACGTCCAGTACCCACTCAGGCAAGGGAACTTTCAAAAGCACCAATGAATTCACGGAGGTTTGGGGGAATCCCTCCAATAGGATAGTTAGGATAAAAGAAAGGTAACTTTTTTGTTCTTGCGGTTCTGGGCATGGAACCCCGCCATATGCTTCACGCTGAACCACATCCCAGCCCTAAGGAAGATATTGTTCGAGCAAAGGCTTGAAGGAGGTGAAGGAATTAGCCAAGGAGCCATGGGGAGCAGGGGGCAGGGGGAGCGTGTCTGGGCAGAGAGCACAGCTGGCATTGTTGGGATGCCAGCTTACCCAGATGCTGAGAAAGACGAAGCAGAGTGGCTGTGGGGAAGCACTAGTGATCTCATGAGCATCAGCCCACGGATGCCAACACCACGCTCCTTCCCCCATTACCCGCTGTGTGCCCTTGTCCACATCACCTCTCAGTCCATGAAACAGGAATGATGGAAGTAACGGCTCCCAGGTCTATAAAGAGGATTAAATGGAATAATACACAGCAGGCACCCAGCACGTGCCGGCGCCTAGTGACCCCCCAGGCGGGGCCAGCTCAGGTCCTCTGTGGTCATTCACAGCAGCCTCGCTCTGCTGCTGGGGGTGGGGCTGGATCCTCACAGTGCCTCGCAAGCAGGCTTGTGCTACCACCGAGCCACCTCCCCAGTAACTTCCTTCCCACCAGCGGACGGTGGTGGACAGCAGTGACAGTCATCCGCAGGGGTCTCAGGGAACACACACTTCAGGGAACTGGTAAATCTTCTGCCATTCTCAGTAGCCCTGAGGCATCAGGACTGACCTTCCTGGGCTGGATCTCAGAGTTGCCTTCAGACTTAAAGCTGTCAGGAGGGGTGCTGGGGGGCAGGGGACAGGAGTCCACACAGAGGTGGCAGTGCGAGGTTTTCCCCAGAATGTCTCCTGAGCTCTCCTGACTCGTCATCCAAGGACCAATGTTCACAGAATCTGTACCTCACTTGGCCTGGAGTGCTGGGAATAGGGTAAAGGTCAAACCCAAGAGTTGGGGTCTTGGGAAAAGCAGAAGCCTCCTTGGGGTAGATCCTTCTATATGTCCTCAAGAGAGTGGACCATACACAAGGAAGGAGGGGGATGGGCCACACCTCATGTGGTGGTGCCCCCGGGAGCTTCAGTTCCTTCGATTGGCTGATGCTCATGAGATCAGGACTCAGGCGTGGGGGGCTTTTCAGTGCCCAGCCCCTGAAGGGAAGCACCAGGGGTCAGTGGAGATCTGTGAAGCTCCCAGAACCAGAGCTGTCTTCACCTACTGTTGGCATCAACTCACTTCCTGGGGGAAGTGGGGAGAGCCAACAGGTTCCAGTCTCACTTTCCTTCTCTGTCAGAAATAGTAATAATTTCTGCTGGCCTATGAGTTTCATTCGGTCAATACTCAAGTTCTTGCTCCATGCCCAGCACTGTTTGGAGATCTTAGAAACTGTCAGAACAAGACATTCAAGGCCTCTGTTCTTGGAGGGCTGACGTTCAAGTGGGAGTTGCAATTCTCTGACATGATGCCATGACATGATGCCAAGTGGCAGTAGGTGCCAAGGAGAAGAGTGGGCCAGGGTGTTGGGCCACTTTCTCTAGAAGATGGTCAGGGAAAGTGCTTTGACATGACACTCAGGGTTCTCCTGCCTTCTGCAGAAAAGAGGAGCCGGGAGAGGAAGCAGCAGGATCCTGAGAAATGCATGTCCTGAGCAGTCCTGGTTCTACAGAGCAAGGCAGCGGTTCCTGGAAATCTTAGGGAGTATGAAACCCAACAGGAGCAATGTTGCTGTCAGAGCTGAAGTTAGCTCCTAGCCTGGGGGTGCTGCGACCTTGGTTCCAGGCACCCAGAATTGCTTGCAACCTTCCCACAAGTTCTCCAGGTGACTGGGCAAGGATTACAATCTCATCCCCAGCACTAGATATGGTCCCTTGACTACAGAGTTAGCAGTAAGTAGGCCCTGAGCACCACCAAAAAAAAAAAAATCTCCCTTTGACTGAGCATAAAGTTGAGGCCCTAGGGAATCAAGGGGCAGCCTCGTTCCAATGCCCAACTGTCTTGCATAGTTAGTACAGTGAGTAGGGTGCTTGCCTTACACACACAGCCACGCCAGGTTTGAGCCCCAGGATCTCTTATGGTCCCCCAAGCACCGCCTGGATAATTCCTGAGTGTAGAGCCAGGAATAACCCCTGAACATCGCAAAGTGTGGTCCAAAACAAAACAAACAAACAAAAAATACTTGATTCTCAGTAGACACACACACGCGCGCGCGCGCACACACACACACACACGCATGCACGCACACACGCACCAACTGGATAAATCTAGGTTTCAGCAAGTCTCAAGACAACTACCAAGTGCCAATCACATGTAGGGCAAGGTTCAGAGAAGCTATCGGGGTTCCTTGGAGAGACTCCAGGTGCCCTAAAGGCACTGGCATTTGCATGCTGACTGATCGTGCACGATCCCCCAGATCACCACTTTGCTTTTGTGTGCCTCAGTCTACAGCTACGAGCAAAATGGGACTGGTAATCCCCACCCTGCACCCCATTAGATACTTGTAGAAAGTAAACATCCAAGTGACTATTATAATCAAAGAAAGGCGTGATAGTAATCACTGGCCCACTCAGAAGGTCTCCAGACCCAGACTAAATTCAGTCTTTCATTCATCTACGGTCCATCTTAGAGCGCCTGCAGCACGCCAGGTTCTGGGCTGGTCACTGTGCGTGCAAGGACTACAGTCCAGTGAGGTCAGTGGCTGCTAGTGTCTCCACTTTATTGAAGAAGAAACCAAAACTCAGAGGTATGAGTTGCAAGTCATTTGGCTCATTTGTTCATTTACTTTGGGCCAAGTACTGAGGACCGAAGATGAGCAAGTCCTTTAGAGTCATGCCCACCAATTACCTTAATAACAGCTCAGTTCAAGCTCCCACAGTGAGTGGGAGCAGGAGGAAGAGGAGCAACTGGTTCCCATGGGGTGATGGGGATGGGAAACCAGCTGACCTTCCTCAGGATGCTGCTCTGTGCCCAGGGTAGAGGTGGCAATCACAAGACCTGGCTAGAATCTTGCTGTGTCAAGGTTCTGCTCTGTATGTTCTGCTCTGTGGTCCCAGGAAACCTCTCCTGAGACCACAGAGTCTCTCCCTCCATCTGGAAAACTAAAAGACTCTGCTTGAGAAGCTACAGATCTGGGGTCTAAACTTTGCTCTGGTCATCCCACACTATCCCTGCCCAGTTTAAACTCGGTCCCAGCCAAGTGCCGAGGTTGACCTGGGACTGTCAGTCCAACTCCCTCAAAGAAATGTACCAAAGGGGCCAGAGTGATAATACAGTGGGTAAAGCACTTGCCTGGTTCAATCCCCGGCATCCCACATGGTCTCCTGAGAACTGCCAGGGGTAATTCCTGAGCGCAGAGCCAGGGACTAACTCCTAAGTATAACCACAAGCAAAAGGAAAGGAAAGGAAAAAGGAAAGGGGGAGGGGCGGGGGAGAGAGAGGAGGGGAGAAGAGGAGAGGCGGAGAGGAGAGGAGGAGAGGGGAGGAGAAGAGAGGAAAGGAGGAGAGAGGAGAGGCTGGTAGATCACAGCATTGACGGGTGCTCAGAGCCTGCTACGAGGCCTTGAGCCCCAAAAGGCGGAGCTCCGAGAGGGGCGTGGCTGAGAGCTGGAGGAGTGGCACGCCCCGCCCAGGGGCGGCGCATCTAGCCAATGAGCGCCCGGGAGCGGGAAAGCCCCGCCCCCGGGTATAAGAGGCCGCGGAGCCGGCCCGCGGGCCGAGCGCCCGGAGTCCGCGCCGGGAAGTTTGCGGAGTGTTGGCCGCTGGCGCCGGAGCGTCCACTCTCGCAGGACCTGCGTTCTGGCGGCACCGGCGGGACTGGAACGCGGGTCGGCCCGGTCTTCCTCACTCCGCGGGGCTGCGAGGGAGGTTCGGAGCCGCGAGCCCTCGCCGCGGGACGGCAGCTGCCCCGGACCTGTGCGCGCCCGGACTGTCCCCGCGTCCGCCCCTGGCCATGGGTGACCACCTGATGCTGGCCGAGTCGGGCTACCGCCTGGTCCCGAGGCCCCCGCCCGCCGCCGCGCCGGCCCACGGCGCTCACGTGCTCCGGACTCTGCCGCCTTACGCGGGCCCCGGCCTGGACGGCGGGCTGCGGCCGCGGGGGGTCCCGCTGGGCCCGCCGCCCCCCGTGCCCGGCGCGCTGGCCTACGCGGCGCTGGGGCCGCCCCCCGCCTTCCACCCGCCCTTCGCCGCCGGCCTTCCCCCCGCCGCGGCCGGCGCGCACCTGCAGCCCGCGGCCGCGCCCCCCGGCGCCCCGGGAGTGGCCGCGGGCCCCGCGCCCGGCAGCCCGGCCCAGCTGCCCCCGCCGCCGCCGCCGCTGCCCGCGCACGCCCTGGCGGGCGTGGACGCCGAGCTCATCGACGAGGACGCGCTGACGTCGCTCGAGCTGGAGCTGGGGCTGCACCGCGTGCGGGAGCTGCCCGAGCTCTTCCTGGGCCAGAGCGAGTTCGACTGCTTCTCGGACCTGGGCTTGGCGCCGCCGCCCGCCGCCGGCCCGGTCAGCTGCTGAGCGGCCGCCCCGCGCCTGCCCGCCGGGCCGGACCTCCCCGCCGCGCCGCGCCACGCACCCTCCGTGAGGGTGGGGGACAGCGCGTGGGCGCCCCGAGCCCCCGTCGGCCCGGGAGACGCCGGGTCTCCCGCCGGGCCTCCTGCTGGATGACCGTCTGGCTTCACCTCGCTGCCCCTGAGCCTCAGCGGTGAAGACCAAGGGGGCTGACCCCCCTTTCGGACGCCTGGTTCATGGATTGAGTTCTCTCAGACTCTCCCTCCCACCCAAGCCCCCAATCTGAGCCACTCCGGGCCCCTGCCTGACTCCCGCTCTCTCTCTCCTCGGGCACCTCCTGGGTCCGGCCCCTCCTGAGACCCCGGAGCCGCCCCTCCCACCCGGGCGCTCTGGGCGCGCAAGCCCGTTCTGCCTTCTGCGGTCTGCCCGAGCCCCCGCGGTGGGAAGCAGTGTCCCATTTGGCCTCCAAAACCAAAATAAAACTGGGTCACTTTACTGGCTGGTGTTTTCATTTCCCTCTCTGTCTCCCCTCCTGGGCTATATTTGGCTTCTGGAGCCCTGGGGGTGTTGGGGAGGGGGACCCCGGGGAGATGCGGCAACCATTGCTGGCAGTGCCCAGGAGAGGAAATGGACGGTTTCTTTTGAAAATAGCCGAGTTGTGCAATTGTTTGGTCATCATCTGGGAGGCAGAGACTGCCGCCCCCACCCCAGCTCACAGCTCCTGGGTGGGGGCTGGGGAGGACGTTCAGGGGTGCCACCCACACCTGTATGTTCAAGGCAACCCCAGAGCCAGAGGGGAGCAAGTGGTAGCTGAGGATTTCGGCAGTCCTGACTTGGAGTCATGACTGTCCCTTATCCAGCAGCCCATGTCTGCTGACTGATGGCAGCAGTTTGGTGGCTCAGGGCAGGGGGACTCTGAAGGGCCCCTCTTGTCCCAGTGCTCTCAGGTGGCTGACCCAGGTGCTGCCTGCATCTGCCTGTAGCTTCTCTTCTCACTCTTCCACAGCTGCTGATCTCGAGGGGCTTCCCCAGTGGACCCGCTGCCCACACTCTCCCGAGAAAAAGTGGAAAAACGCCTGGGTCCCAGCGGAGTCCCCAAGCCTGAGGGGGGCCTCATTCCCAGTCCCAAGATCACCCTAAGTAGAAAATTAGAAGCCACTGGACCAGGAGGTATAGCCCCAGGGAGGAGGTGAGAGATACCAGCTAGAGCCACAGGGAGTGGTTACTGCAGGAGGGGAGGTGAGGGGAATGGGATGGAAGGGGAGGCAGGAGGGACAGAGGGGAAAGAGGGAAGGGAAGAAGAGGGGGAAGAGGGAGGAGTGATAGCACAGGGGATAGGGCGTTTGCTTTGCGTGTGGCTGACCCGGGCTCAATTCTCAGCATCCCAAATGTTTCCCCGAGCACCGCCAGAAGTAATTCCTGAGTGCAGAGCCAGGAGTAACCCCTGAACATCACTGGGTGTGACCCAAAAAGAAAAAAAAGAAGGAGAGAAGGAAAGGGGAGGGGAGAAGAGGAGGGGAGGGGACCTGCTTCGATCAGGCAGACAGTGAGAGCTGTCACTGGAACTGGTCCCTAAGGTGTCCATCCCTCCTGAGGCAGCAGGACATAGGCTTTGTCCTGTCCTGTGGGGCTTCTCAGAGTGTCAGAGATGTGGACCCAGATGGGGTGCTGCCCCAGCCCTGCCTTCTCTGTCCACCTGTCTGCTGTCTGTGCCTCAACCCTCAGGAGCCAGAGGGGACAGGAAACAGTGCAGCAGCTGGACCCCCTGCCTACCATCCTGCTGGGGGGGGGCAGGGGGCGTCACTATCCTGGCCTCCTCCTACCTGCTGCCTAGCCCTCTCCCCTGAATCTGCTCCGCAGCTCATGGAAACAGCGGGGCCAGCACATTAGTGCCCTTTCATGGTGAAGAAACTGAGGCTTAGAAGGAATCAGGACAGTGGCCGCCAATCCCTCTTATGACAAGTCGGCCCCTTGGTTTGCTGGGCAAACACTGACCTTCCTCAACACTGCAGTCCCCTTCTCAGCCTCCCCCAGGCCCCATGCTCCTAGGAAACCCTCTTTAGCCCCCACTTCTGGGCTCCTTCTCCACATCTGCCTGCAGTCTCCAGAGCTGACATCGGCAACCTGTATGCCAGGAGAACTTGGAGTGGAGACTCAGGACCACAGACCCACTTAGCGGAAGAATGCGTGACCCGGATTCCCATCACCTCTTTCCTCTCTATCAGGCAGGTCCCCGCCCTCTCTGACAGCCTCTCTCTGTCTCTCTCTGTCTCTCTGTCTCTGTCTCTGTCTCTGCTCTCTCACTCTCTCCCCCCACCCTGCCAGCCTTTCTCCCAGGCCCAAATCATGAAGGAGCCGTCCAGAAAGATCCAGTGGGGTTGGAGAGATACTACAGCAGGGAGGGCACATAGGCACATGCCTTGCACGTGGTCAACCGGGGTTCAATCCCCAACATCCCATATGGTCCCCCAAGCAATGCCATGAGTAATTCCTGAGAGCAGAGCCAGGAGTCACCCCTGCGCATCACCAGGTGTGACCCAAAAAAACAAAACAAAAAGATCCAGCAGCACAGGGCTGTCAGAACTCATTCTGGTCATCACTAGACCAAAACCCTCTAGGCTGAGCACACAGATGGCCCCTCGCTGTGATTGGGAGCTCACCAAGTCACCACCAGACCAATGGACCTTTGCTGTCCTTTCTAGACACCCCCTACCCTCCCAGCTGCCTTGACGACCGGCCTTCTCCAGCTACTGAAGGCAGCATCTCTCTGCAGCCTCTAAGGCTCTGTCAGCACAGGAGTGTCTGTATCACCTCTTGGAAGCTTACTCCACCCCCAGCCAGCTGAGATGCTCCTCTGGGGTTTCCTGCTGGGCCGGTTTGTCCTCTAGTCCTTGATTCTGGGTCTGTTTCCCCCTAATCCCACCAATACAGTTACTCCGAGACCACAGGCGCAGACCGGATCAGCACAGAACCAGTTTGTAAAAAATAAACACTGTTATCATCGCCGGGGTGCTGCAGAGGTGCGTGTCAGGGCCTCCGAGATCTTCCAGGGCTGGTGATCCCCCCATCACCGAGACTAGAAGTCCAGGTGGGGTCAGGAAGGCCTGAGGGGCTGCTGCACAACTGGCAGGTGGCAAGGCCACGGGCAACTGTCCACAGGAAGTGGCCTTCCCCGCCAGTTCCTTTCCCTCCCCTTGGCCCCCAACCTCTCTATGGTGAAGAAGTTCTTCTAAGGAAGATGTGCTTTCATCATGTGTGTGGAGACCTTCAGGAACAGGAGGCAGGATTCCAGGAGCAGGGAGGGCACCCGCCTGGCATGTGGCCGACCCTGGCTCTGTCCCTGAGCATCATTGGCTATGGGCCCCCACACCCCCTGCCCCTGAAAAGGAAAACAAAGGACCTGGTATTTTGGGGGTGTTTTGAGAGGGGCCTCTGGGCAAGTCTCAGCCAAGGCAAGGGTTCATGCCCTGCCATGCTGGGGGTGCACCGAGTCCCCCGTGAGTACTCTGGGCCAGCTCAGTCCTGAGCACCTCCAGGGCTGTGCGAGTGACTCGGGTTCAGTCTGGTGCTGGGGAGGGAAGCAGCTCCTGAAGCCCCGCGTGGTCTTCCTGCACCCTGGTAGACTCCTAGTCCCTGCGACTGGCCTCCTCTCCTCCCCCCGGAGCCCCACGAAGTGTCTGGAGTCATTTGTGGAGTGAGTGAAGCAGCCTGAGCCCCCGACTTTCCCAGACAGTTTAGATGCTTTAACTGATTTCTCAGTAATCCGGGATCCCCCTAATCCGTGCTGGCCAGACTCTTCCAAGCGCTGAGATGGCCCAGTCACTGCCCACCACAGGACGCAGGGGCCACGGGCTGACACCACCTGGAGTGGCATGGGGGCCTCTACTGCCTCCCCTCCCTGTAAAGAGCACCCCCAATCTCCCCACTGCAAAGGGCAGGAAACTGGGGCTCAGACAGAGCAAGTCTCTAAGTCACAGCCCAGCGAGTGGCCAGTGAGTCTGCCCACTCCAGTCTGTCCAGGGCTCTGCCCTCCCCGCCTGGGGCCTGGACCCGAGTGGAAACGGGCAGAAGCCCCAGCCTGGCTCTGCCACCCTGTGACAGCAGACACAGAGGAAGTCACTGGGCCTCCCTCGGCCCTGACAGCAGCGTCTAGCCAGCGGCAAGAACAGCCCCGGCCTCAGGGCAGGGGTGAGGGTCCGGAGAGCCAATCTCTGCTGAGGGGGAGCAGAGCAGAGGGGCTCATTGACACCCCGGCCAGCCTGGAGCTGAGCTGAAGGTCAGGGAGCTGGTGATGACGGGGACTGGGGGGTTACCCAGGGCACAGTCCAGGGTCCATGCAGGTAGGGAACGGCGGCTCCCCGGAGTTCAGGCCTTGGTCTGTCCTGGCGCCTGACAGGGATGCACCAGAGTTGCCTTCTGAGACATCCTGAGAGCAGCTCTGACAAAAGCGGTGACCTAGAGGACGGAGCCCTGACCCAGCCCCTGGAGGCACCCTGGCCCGCCCCCCACGCCCCACGCCTTGCACCAGGGGCCTCCTCACTTTCTTCTATGGGAAAGACCTATTTTTTTTGCTTTGTTTTAGTTTGGGGACCACACCCCGTGGTACTCAGGGGTCACTCCCCCGGCTCTGCACTCAGGAATTCCTCCTGGTGGTGCACAGGGGACTGTACCCAGGTCAGCCGTGTGCACGACCCTACCCACTGGACTATCTCTCCGGCCCCCAAAAGACCTGTTTCCTCATTTTAGCATCAGAAGAGCTGGAGTGAGCTGTGCCAACTGGGAGCTGAGGCTGAAAGATGCCTCCACAGCGGATGCCCCTGGAGCCGGCAGCTCTGTCTAAACTCCGGACTGAGGGCCTGGGCCTGTCCTTTGAGATCTCCAAGCCCTGGAAAATGAGGACTCCATTTCTCTCCCTCCTACCTCGCAGGTGCTGGACAGGAGAGAGGAAGCTGGACAGAGGGAGGAGGACAGGGGGAGGCTCAGCTTCTCCAGCACTGAGGGACCAGCCACAGGGAGGTAGGGGTGGGGGTACAGCAGGCCCAACGTGC